AATACTATATCATCTTTGAGTGATATTTTAGTATTTTTAAGTGTTATTTAAAGTATATTGAGATTTTCCTTCTTTGAGATTCATATCCTTGACAATTTAACAAGAGCCCTAATTTATTATTTGTCTTGTTTTAAAAGTGAGTGATTATCCTACTTTTATTGTTGTATTTTGAAGGTTGTGGATTATCCACCTTTAAACAATCTATTTATTTTTGTAACACTGATTTTTTTTTCTTAAAGAGAATAGATTATCCTTCTTTACAGAGATTTTTATTTGACATTAAAAATTATAGATTATCTTTTCCTAATTTAACTTGTAGATTTTTTAAGTTATTTAAACTAAAAGAAAAAATTATGGATGTTACACTTGAAAAAAATTAGAATAGATTTACAACTATAGCACATCTCTACAAACTTATCAATACTTTTTGGATCAAAATTTCATGCATCACCAATGCCAATCAAGAAAATACTAATCCTACACCTATAAAAAAGATTCAAAGTCAATATTAAAAAATCATGTAGTTGAAGGAAACAAGTAGATTGACCTAACAACCAAATTTGAGAATTTTTGCTTCTACAAGTACAATACGGACAAAGATCAGAATATCCAAGTTTAATACAATAAGATCAAAATTTTAAGGATTTTTACAATAAATCAAGATCTACCTAAAATTGCATCCATTCTAGTATCTTGATGGATTTACTCAAGCTAGATTTATAAGCATATTTCTATCTATAACTGCTCTCTCTTGATTTGCATCTTTGATGGAAAAGAATTTATCGCTCTTTCATGATTTGAATTCATTTTTAGAAGTGTTTACGATCACATTTGAATCAACGGCTAGTAGATTCAACTCAAGAGCCATCATTTGTTGACTTACCGGATAAGACATTGTGATTGTTACATCCTTCAAGATGACGTAAAAGAGATGAAGACCTTCAAGAATGATATATTTTTCTTTAAATAGATGGTAAGATACAACGCATTTGATATCACAACTTAAGAAGAAACTCTCAATGTTTGGTGATTTAATTCGAGGTAAGCATGACTCTTGATGGTGTTTCAAATGTTTTGTTTGAAAGAAGTTATAAAGGTTTCAACAATGATTAAATCACAGGGTCGTCTTTCTACCCTTGAATAAAACATTACCGATGGCTGGGAGGACCTATCAACTACCTTCAAAAGAAACAAAGATCAAAGTACATGGCAAATGCAATTCATCGCATCTTACACTTTCTCAACATGTCATCACCACTCCTTGTGGAACTCATCCCTAAAAGAAGAGATAATGTCATGGATATATATCTACTGTAATTGTTATTTAGGTAATATGAATGGATAGAAGCAAGTAGAAGTAGATTAATTTCATAATACCTTCTAGAAAAGCTTCCTAAAAGCTTCTTAGATGTTGTTTTGATTTTATATGTATCTATAATTGATTAGCAGGTTAGAAACTTAGTCAACAAACTAACCATGTACCACATGTATTGATAGCTTACGGAACAAGCTAACTATTTGATGTCCATATAAAAAACTTCCCTTGCAAGTTAAGATACGTGCCATGCAAAGGCAATATATTTTTGGAGGTCCTATAAATGTTGCCACATAGATCTTGGGTAGATAGTATATATAAAGGTAAGAGTGAAGCCTTCTTCACTCTTGTCAACTCCTTTCTTGTTTCTAGTTTAGTTTCAAGAGTCTCTAGTTTCCTTATCTTTTGACAATAGCCATTCCAATTTCTTTTTTAATATACATACTTTTCTATTTCTATTTTGTCATATTTCTTTGAGAGATTCTCACTTATTTATCTATTTTTTTTGAGTTTTTGTCCTTGATAATATAATATCTATGTTTATATATTTTACTTTTATACTTTTTTCTTATTCTTTTTATAATATGCATATCCATCAATATAATATAAAAATAATATAAAATAATTTTAAAATATTATACCTCATATATTAAATTATATTGTATAAAGTATATTTAATGCATACTTACAATACATAAATAGAAACATCTTTGATGATTATTCTCTTAAAACCTTATAAAAAACCAAAATAAGACCATTCACTATCTAAAAAAATAAAAAAAGAAGCTAATAAATTTAGAATTTTATATGAATATTAAAAATTAAGAAAAAATATCAAAAAAAATTAAATAAATCTATTTTTTTAATAAATTTATCTACCTCTTATATTTTACATTTTTATAATGATATTTGTAGATTTAATTGCCATAGCATAAATTCTACCAATTATAAAAGAAATAAAATCTTCACAATTGAGAAGAATATGTAGAATATAGAAAGAGGATCAATTTACTAAAAGTTAGGTTGATTAAATAATTTTTCATTAAAAACATAACAAATCTAAAAGAGTATTTACAATAGGACCTTTATTGCACATAATAGTTTTCTTATGTTATATGGGTGCAAGTCCATAAGAGCACATCATTCACATGTTCTTTATTTTGAGTCATATCCAACTTACATGCTTTATCATTCTACATTGCCAATGATCATTTGGTATCTTCACATGCAACCCTTCTAGTAAAGCACATATAAAAATATCCTTGATATTTTCTTTCTTTCTTCCACCAAGTCTTCTTTGTCAATAACATGTCTACCTTGTAACTACAAGAACTGAAGAGATTACTTGTCTCTACAAAGTTGAATTATTGATTAGGTTGATATCATCATGATCAAATGGATTCATTAATAGTAGATATTTGGACATGTGGCTTATTGCAAAAGTAGATATTACCATGACTACTTTTTCTTTACAACTCTACTTCCTCTAAATAAGAAAATAAAAGTCTTTTAATAATTTTTGTATTCTTATTTCCTAAAGAATAATTTTTCATCTCAATTGTACCATATATTAAAAATAAATAAAAGACTTCTTATTATGTATTGATTTCCTACAAAGTAAAAGGTAGACTCAACTTAATTTAGACATTGTAAATGTGAACATTGAAGAATATTGAATCATTGAACACTTTAGCTTATTTGTACTCATAAAGAAGGAAATCACTAAATTTGTTGATTATACTACTAAAGCCAATAGATGTTTTCATTGCATGGAATCTAGTATATTTGCAAGAGTCCATGTCATGTACTCTAGAGATAGTGTGGCTCTTAAACAAGTTGTAAGTCCATCAAGATTGTGGAAGTTTAAAAAAAATCACAAACTTGAGGGACATGTATAAGGATTTTCATACAAAAAAGTGGGTCTTTAATTAAATATTGGAGTTGACATACCTTAAATATCATTTCAGGTACTACTTATTAGGACTACATACAACCTAAATTAGGCATAATCAAGATTATAAATTTAAATATGTCATAACTTCTAAAATAAAAACCTAAAGTCAATCTAATTATTAATATATTAAAAAATTTATATATATATATATATATATATATATATATATATATATATAAATTAAAATTCTAAGTCATACAAAATAAAATTGTATATTAAACTATAACATGTTATCTAAAAAACAAATTTAAATTATTTCAAATTTCATCTTTTTATATTTATTTGTTTTATAAAGTCAAACAATAGAAAAATAAATAAATACATAAAATAAGTAAGTCTTTATAATTGTTAGTTATTTTATAGTATAATATTATATTAAAAAAAATTATGTCATGTGCTTTTTATTAAAATATTATATACATTTATAAGACATTGCTAATATCACCACAATTTTTGCTACTACCACCACAACTTGTCACCCACTTAACATATTTCTTTAGTTTTTTATTTTGATTAAATTTTTTTAATAATACCATATGTATATATATATATATATATATATATATATTATCTATTCTTATGTTTCTATATTTATTATGCAAATATGTTTGTATTTTTAAAATATAAGATTTCTTAATATACTTTTCTTAAAGTACAAGATAACATCAAATTAGCATACACTTACATTTTATGTATGTTGTTAGCAATTTGAAATACACAAGTTTATAAAATAAACAAGTTTTAAAAGTTTTATGTATATTGTAATGTCACACTAAGTGTTTTGATTTCATAATGTTGATTTGCATAAGAGCATTAACAAATGTTGCTTTTTATTGAATGGTTTATTTTTTTCGAATGTAATACAATAAAGCCTATTATATTCATTAAATTTAAAGAATACAAAGTCAAATGAAAAACATTTAGCAATTTTTAGGTGACATGAAGATTAGAGTGTACTTGTATAGAATTTTTTCAATAAAAACATTAAAATATATATGGTACAAACATTGTTTTGTTCCATAAATATTTTATAAAATGCATTATCAATACTTGTAATAAATATCTTATTAAGTCTGAAATTAATTCTGATGAAACCATGTTAAAAGTTGCAAATTAAAATACCATCGCATACTTCAAGTTGAATTTAGCGTTTCTCAATCAATGAAACATTGCACTTAGTAAAATTGACGTGTTGTACAATCTTCCTTCAGTGTTGTGGAATAGGGAGTACTTCCAATACAAGGAATAATCAAATCGCCAATACTCTATCAATACATAGACAGCGATCAAAATCACGTCCTTTTAAAATCCAACAATGCAAAAACATAACCTCGTTAACAATTAGACCTTATCTAAATATCCTTCGTAAATAGTATCAAGCAATTCAAGACCTGAACACTTCTCAGAAAAAATTAGAACATGCAAAACTATCCAAGTTTAAAAGATTAAGAAGACAAATTTACAGACAACCCTAAACATGCATTTCAAACTGTATTAACTCTCTAAAAAGACATGATCGCCATATAACCGCACAGGTCAAAGCACAACAACCTATACTCATTGAAAAATTAGCAACACAGACAAACATGGATTCCAAAAAAAGACAAATCTCACACCATAGCCCACGATACTACTAGGGAAAGCATCAACACCGCTTCGGAAAAGCCTCCATCAATATAACAATGAACCTCACACAACACCGCATATCACAAATCGACCAACACCGGTAAGTGTCCAGAGAGGTCCCAAGCCGCTTAACGCACGCCCAGGGAAGGAGGGGAGGGGTACCCTTATGTTAACCAGGAAAGAAAATAGGGAGGAGAAACAAACCAAAAACGTTCCTCAATACACACACGACGTCAGTGGCCAATCTGCTCACAGCCACGCCAATTGGAATCTGTGGTCAAAACCTGGAGTTCCGATGTTCCCCAGCATTCGCTACTAATGCTGTGTACCCATTACACTGAGAAACTGCTCGACAAGTGCATACATTCTGTTTCCTCTACAAGAATTGACCGCTGCAAGTCTCTTATGCCTCTCTGAGGCTCCTTCATTGAGCTTCGCCCCATCCCATTCCCACCACCCCTACAAGACTGCTGTGAAACACATCACTTCCACCAGCCTTCCACCCTACCACCGCCTCCGTCACATTCTCTTCGTCGCCCGTCTCTATCTACTTCACCTCTCACATCGGAGGTGGCTGTCGCATCACGCCCACACTTCCGCCCTCATCCTCATCACCTCAAACGTCTACCCCCCACCCAATCATCAATCAGACTCACTGTCGGAAGTCGTCACACAAGATGTCTCGCTTCCAATGCTGCCCACCTGGACATCCATTCGCCTCTTGAGATCCATTCGCCTGCGGCTGTGGTTGTGGTTGTGGTGGTTGTTACTGCAGCGCTGTTCGGCGCCTGGTAAAGATGTCAATTCGTTGCGCTGGATCCACACCATCATAACGACGTCAGAAGCATACTCATCACCAGAACCATCAAGTGCGTCGAGCGTAGCGAGCCAACGACCTACGCTTGAGAAGTGGGGAGCATGTTTGTACCTTCTGAATGAAGGCATCGATCTCATCTTGCGTCAAAGCATCTGTTTCTTCCGCATCGGCTTGACTCCATCCAAGTGAAATCAAAAACGACATCTCTTCGGCCTCAGAGGGCCCATCCCCTGATGCCAACTGCTGCTGCAGAGATCCATCACCCTCCTCAAACACCTGCTCCTCACCGGTGTCATCTGTCGTGCCCTCCATCATCCCGCCGTTCTCTTTACCCACCGTGCCAAAAACCTCAGAGTCGGAGCCACCTCCTTCGCCATCCCCGCTGCTATCAATCTCTTGTCGCTCCCCGTTCTCCGACGGGTACGACTCTCCCACAGAATGCTCACCAGCGTCCCCCAACGGATGCACGCTCTCCTCCGACAACCCATTCCCCACCTCTACACCGTTTAACAAATCATCGCTTTTCGGTGCTGCAACGTCCAATTTATCTACAACATTCGATGTACCACCCAAACCCGCTTTCTTTCGAAGAGCGTTGAAAAAGTCCACACGATTTTGAGTTGGCACACACGGCCGACGTTCATCACCTCCAGACAAACTTCCATCTTTCGACCGTATACCCCCGCTGCTCCCGTCTGAACTCGCACCAGCTGTAACTGGTGGAATCGGAACGGCACGCCGATCCAGAAGTTGCTTTTGCTTACGAGGACCGCTGTTCAAAACCCCGACTGCACTTGCAGAGCTTCCTCCACCCAACCCAGGGGCTCCCAAACCCGTCGCCACCACTGCTGAAGCTTCAGTTTTCAGGCCTGTGGTAACTGGAGAAGGGGATACCACCAGAACCGCCTCCTTCACAGGCACCTTTCTCGTCAAAATCTTCCCTGTTCCTTGCCCCAACTTCGGAGCCTCGGGACGAGATGCCGGTGGCCGGTACGGCGAGCTCAAAACCTGCTGGGAGCTACCCATCCCCTGCCTTGCCTTCAAGGCGTTCGGAGGAGCTATCACATGCACTGCCCGCTCCACCTTCTTGTCTCGAGGGGAAGGACCCTGTAAAAACACACCCACTCACCATATCAACACAGTGTGGGAAGAATCTCTCCTTCACGTAAAATGCTACGGCTTCAAACCTAACAACCCTCTGCCTGCGCAATCGCGATCCACACATTCACATGCCATAACCTTGTAAACGTTGCGACTGACGTACGCACCAGAGTCTTTGGAACCATTGGAATCAACTGCCGAGATTGCTGCAATGCACGCTCCTCCAATCGCTCCTTCTCAACCAAATACTGCAACCATTACATCACCATCAATAAGTCACTTACCAATTGAAATCCATCGTTTGTTCTACCGACTTCTATCAGGAAACACCCACCCTCTGTGCACCAAAACCTAGCCCAAAAAGAGTCCAACCTTCTTCGCTTCGCTGTTCCACACCAGAAACAAAAGCCCAGAGATCTCACAAAGCGTCAACAACAGCATCAAATGTGCAACATCTCGATTCATCCAAAAGACTCATCCTCACCATCTCAGGGCTCCCTCTCAACTGCTGCACACAATGCTTGTGCAGCAACACTACGTATTGGACACCACGCACATCACAACAAAACCAACAACGCCGGCGCCACGCCGCCCATATCGTACCTGTGGAGGGGTGCGCACGCGAGGAGGGATCTGGACCAGCGCCTCTGCCATCTTCGGGGCATTCATAAGGTTCCCAGACACTGACATGCTCGCTAGAGCCGACGTCGGCGAAGTGATCACAGTGCCAGGAGAGCTCAAAGGACCGGCCAGCGTGCCATTCACAGCAGTAGGAGCCTCGGCTAATGCAGAGCTCCACCCTTCGCCATTGCTGCCTCCCGCGGTCGTAGATGCCAGTCCGCTACCAGGGCTGCCACCATTAGGCAGACCGGGTGAGGATGCTGCCGACCTTGTTCCATCCATCCTCGGTGTGGACGAACCTTGCCATAGTGGCCGTGGACTCGAAATCACCAAGTTCCCCAGGTTCGACTGTATGCCGCTCACGCCACCGCCCCTCTCTTGAGCACCAAGAGAAGGAAAGTTACGCTCAAATGCTGCTTTCTGCATGCTGCTCGTCAACCCACTGCTATTCGAAGGGGGAGCTGTCCGAAGGCTCCCCGCCTCCGCAGCTTTCTTCTCCCCGTTCTCAAGCGCTCGAGCTGCCGACCCCATCGACTGCACTCGTCGAAGTGGTGCACTTAAATCGGCCTCATACCGACCCCCTGGCAATTGACCTAATCCGGGCCTCCGAAATGCGGACAAACTCTCAGGCTGCTCGCTCCGCTCTCTTTCCCTCTCCTCAGATCCTCCCAACCCTCCCAAAACCCTGCTCCTATCCCGCCCGTCCCGCTCCCTGTCTCGGTCCCAATCCCAGTCCCGTTCCCTAACCGTGTCCCTGTCACTCCGATCCAAACCTGCATCGTAACTGCGATACGTACTGCTGCGACCAAAATTGGTGTACCCACGTGAAAAACTCTCCCTCTCTTGTATTGACCGGTCGCTGATGCCACTGCTTCCTCCCCCCGGTCCCCGTCTAATTGCTGAATAATACGCCCGATCGGAGGACGAAGAGGGTGGGAAGCGTGGCGCGTCGTACTCCGCATCCCTGCCCCCACTTGTTAACCCAGGCGACGCAACGCGGGGCCGCAACGCAAAGCCTCCCCCGCTCTCATCTGAAAAACCACACCCACTTCTAGGTCAGGGTCAACCAGTACCAATAAATGCCAAGGATGCTCACACTCACCCAACTCGACCGAAGACAGCCCGTGGGCCTCTCCGCGGACTGCAGCAACCGCATCCACTCTTAGCCATCGCCTCTGTACAGCTTCTACACTCACTAGCTATTCAGACTGCGGTCGCCTGTGGTGCTCAAGCCCCATGTGCACGAACCCCAGGGACCGGACCGCCAACCAGGATTACTTCTTCACAGGAAGTTGGCACCCAAACCAATAGTGTGCCCATGTTAAAACACATAGCCACCCCACCCTTCTTTGCACTACCAATACAAACAGAGTATTTTACCCAATCCTCAGCTTCACTAATCTCTGTCCCAAAACCTCTTCTACTCGTACTTTTACTCGTTTCCTGATACCAACCAGAACTGTCAAGACCTCACCACCCCCTTGCTCCACCAAAGCACATCTCATCATGTCGCACCATGCAACGAAATGCATTCACATTATAAAGGCCCACATGCAACCGAGATGCACAAAATGCCCCTCGCCCCGATACCTTCATGCGCAACACGTCACAGTCCACCAATTCCACAAAACAGAACAAACCGATACGGAAGTTCAAAATCATCTTGATGATTAGACGACGCCTGCGAATAGTGGCTTGCCCCGGCAGGCCCGACACTGCCGGCTCCTTTGAGCCATTGCGGGACCAAGGATGGCTCACTTCTCTCCATCCCCGCCACAGACCATGATAGGTCTGCCGGCAGGAGCCCAACCGTCACTTTCTGCCGACCACCAATCTCGTCCTACTTTCTTCACGAAACACAACACCGCAAATCCTCTCCCTCAGACTAGGACGCCATCGAGGTTAGTCATAATACACAGGCATTACCCTGAAAGAATCCATTTGCCAGCCCCTTCCCTCTTTCTGCTCTCTCTCGCTCTCACCCCCTCTCCCTCTCCCCCTCCCCCTCACACATCCAAAATAATGCGGGTGTTGGCTACATCAGCACCACAATCCCTGATAGCCTTCCAACAAACTCCAACGTTCATTGCCAACCAACGTCCCTCTTGATGCCTAAGAAACCATAGCATCCATTTAAAATCACTTCAGCATCACACTATTGCGAATTCCAACACTCCATGGCGATGGTTCTTCCGGGATGTAATGCAACGCGGCCAAAAGTGATGCAATCGCCGGATCTTTCAATGTACATAAGGTTCTTCACAGTCGTCTTCCAAATTACACCTTGAGCTCCACTCAAACCGCCAGAGGAAATCTAAATGCAAGTTGGACACATTCCTGTATGGCACGCTGTGTCCCTTGCCAATCCTGCTAGTATGTTTGCAGTCCAATGGGACGGTTATGCAAATCCCAGCAGATGTTTTCGTACACCAAATGCAAGGTACTCTAACTGCGATAGTTCGTCTCATTTATAGAATCGACAGTTCTGGAAAGGAATCTCCAAGCAAGGGATTTTGGAGCAAGACATACCGTTTTTCTCCAGCTTCACGGAAGCTAAGCTAAGTGCCGACCACTGCCTGCCTACATTCAACTAATTCTGCGCTTGGACATCGAAGCATGCAAATATCCGCCAATTTCCCGCCCTTACTTTCTGCTTTGCCTATGTGAGGACTACTATGGACAAGCCGCAAATTTCTCCTGTTACTATGTCATGTATGCCATGTCTGTACTACTTTTCTTTGCAAACCCTAACTCTTTGACACGAAGACGCCTGCCCCTGACCCAAACTAGGATTCCGACCACAAAAACCTTTCTAATGCCCTGGTTTAATTTTCAGCACTACTATCATGCGACTTTTTTCCGTCATCTTCATCGTCTTCGTCGCCGTATTTGCGTTTTCCAATCCACCAAATGCGATATCGTACTCACGATGCCTTCATCACCACCCAGCAGATAGTACTGAGAGATTTTTCCCACTCCATCGCAAACTGAGTAACTGATAGGGCTCGTCCTCCACCTCCTAAAACCCCCACAAGCACCAGCCCAACCCCAAGGGTACGATGCCCTAAACCATGAGCCTAACCCGTCTCTACTTCCCACCCAGTTCAGAAACGGCAAAACCCCGGGTAGCCAAACCTCCGAACCCCCGCTCCTCCAAGGTCTCCACAAAACCCTCGCACTTACTTTTCCGCTCCCGCAGCACGTACACGCATTCCGCGCACCTCCAGAAGCCCACGCCTTATAGCTCACACAGCCTTTAAATGCGACTCATGCTAGCAATCTCTTCAACTGAGCTCTGCTCCGCTCAAATACTCCAATCCTTGCAACAAGGAATCAAATCCAACCCTAGACCCAGGAATAAAAATGGATAAAACCTCGAAATCCTTACGCTGCACGAATATCCTGCGTCTGTGTAATAATATGACACCAACACGAAAAACTACACAAAGGAGGAGTGGTTTCGAGGGAGAGGGAGAGAAGCAGCACCTACGAGTGATACAATCTTTTTGCGAAGGAGAGAGCACCGAAGTAATGCGGGGCACATTGTGTGGGAGAATAAGGCGGACGGGATGCACGAGGGAGGAGCTTGAGGAAGAAACAGAAAGAGGTGATTAGGAAAAAGGAAAGCCTGGTGGTTCGGTGACGAAGAACGAAGAACGAAGAAGAACGACACACCAAGCAAACTGCCGCCGAGTAGGAGGGTGGGAATGGAAGCTGGACTCGCGTTGAACGAAAGTAGGACGAAGGCAACGCATCGAACGAGATCCGTTGGACAATATCACGACGAAACGTTTCACCGTCAGTGTTCTGGCCCTGACCATCTTCGTAAATTCTCCTCCTCGTCTGTGGCGGGAGTCCAGTTGTCCACTCTGGTTCCGTTGCCTACGTGGATAGGGACAACCACCATTTCTTTTTCTTCGCTTTATCTTTACTTTCACTTTTCTTTTACCCTTGCAAATTTGTGGGTTGTTTCGTTTCGGATTGGCTTGTGTTGAAATTAAATAAACACCTTTAAGAGCTCATACATTATTTTATTATTATTATTATTATTTACACATAAATAATTGTACAGTTGTTTTGATAATTAAAAACTTTCATAGGTATTTTTTACATTTGATTGATACGATTCATGATATTACTTATTCATTACTTGTGTAGTACTTTGTGTGTTTAAAAAATTACATCAAAATTTACAGAATCAAATTAAATTAGACGGAAAAAGGATTGGCAGCATCACTCGAAAGCATTTCCATTGGACTGTTTAGACACTGAAAAGGGAAGGCAACGACGCACCCAACTCATGAGCTTATGTGGCACGTCCGGGATATCATTGTCTTCATGAGCATTGAGTGACGAGCATGATCTCGGAGACTCGATAGGAATGTTGATGTTGTGGCGATGGATTCCACTTCGTTGATGGTTTGAACATGGCTGTTTTGATCAGCCTGATAAGCGAAGGAGAGTGAGTAATCCTTGCAGTATTGCTATCTAGGCTTGTAGTTCAGTGCTGCTTTGCGGATGATTTAGTTGCATATTTGGCTTCAACAAGTTCATACATGGATAATGCTTCAACAAAATTATGATAGCAAATTATCGAAGGATGTAGCAGAGTAATCTGCACTGCAGTATCGCCTATTTGTCCACTGTCCAGCAAATTTTGTAGGTAACATCTGAGATTCATTATGAAGCAGGTGTCCTGCGTAGACCACGTCCTAACCACCACTCACATATGTAACAGTTCGTCAATCGTCTGCAGTCTCATCTTGTTTGACCGTGTTTGTTTTGCTTTCAGACGCGGATATCCTTCAATGGCGCAGACTTTATTTTAATCCGGGAGTGCTACCTCCGTTTAAACAGGATGAGGTGCGGCGCTATTATGAGGTATTGAGACAGCCTATTGATCGGGAAAATTGTCCAGACGAAATGGGGAAATCAGTGGATAAAATGCCGCCCCCCGCTAACTTCTCTACGTCAAATTCAGCTATGTCCTCTCAGCGGAACGATCTCGCAAGCCGACAACCTCCAGTGGTGTCGGAAGCTCTTCCTCTTAGCATCCACTACACTGAAAAGGTCAATTGATTCTATAGAACGTCTTCCTAAAATATCTCTTCCGTAGGATGCTGTAACTTCAACCACATAGATACCTCTAAAGTTGGAACTGCATTCTTGGATGCGCCACTGGAAATTTGTCTACATCTTGCAATTATAATAAAATTTAAAAGGTAAGGCCCTGAAGTTTATAGGTCTGTACAATCTGGCAGTTCGAACTCCTTGGTAACGGGTTGTGCCAGAAGCGAGGGCCGGGAAGGAATCAGTTTCTCTCCAGTAGAGCTCCTGCAGCTGTAGAGCTTCTCAATGCAGAAGGCGCCTCCAAATTCAATGTAGACGGGGTGAGAAAGATTCGATTTCACTGCTACCTGTGGATGTCTCTTACAATCGATACACATATTTTCATTCACAGCTTTCATGCGAATGCCACAGCCTGAACTCCTCCCCGAGTTGATGTTTGTCTTGGAGTGATTGGACAAACTAGGGTTTGACGGACAACGCGATTCTCCGAGAAGGGGAACCGATGCCGAAAGAAATTATTGCAGTGGTGAGGCCCAGAAATATATTTCTAAAAAAACAGGAAGGAAAATATGGCCGAACAGATCAACAGAGCATTCTCCCAGACGAGATGGAGATGAACCTCGAGGTGAAGGTATTCGATTTCGCTCCACCGGAGACAGATGTGTTGAAGACTGGGAAAGACACAGGGGTAGTGTATAGCGGGAAGACCAAGGCTACTGTGAAGCAAGATGTGCAGGGACTGTACTGCTTTCAAACTCAGGGCAATCAGCTGGAGCATTTGTTCACGCAGATGGGCACCTACATGTTCCACTTCTCCCTGGTGAGCTCAAAATACAAAGAGGTACCTCCAGCAGTAGTGCGTATTAACGTGGCGCCCTCGAACACTGACATGTGCGATGCACGCTGCTTAGAACAGCCCAAAAGGAAGCGCAGAAGACCACGTGAAGACACGTCTGAAGCCACAATACAGGAGTACACACACTTAGACTGCTAATATTTTTTTGTTCCACACACGAGTCTGAATTAGCGTATTTTTCAAGTCAAAACTATAGTATTGATGTAGTGAGCGTCTTTGTTATGTGCAGTGGTTCTTTAGACGTGGCACCCATTGATGATGGGCTCGAGGATGATTTTGAAGAGCCTCCTCATATAGTGAACACAAAAATCCATGTCACGACCCTCGATGTGATTGTTTCAGTAAGTCTCGAGACTCAACTCAAAAACATTGCGGTTAACGCAGAGTGGTGACTCTACGATGATGAGTTTGAACCCATCCAATGCCTTTTCTCACCTTGAATACAGGTGAACGGGTTTTTTGCGATTGCGGTATTTTTGGGATTAGCACTCAGCCCCCCGTTGCCTCAGTTTCAGGCAGCTACAACACTTGCGCCAGCCAGATTGGAGTGCTGGCCACAAATTAACGCTTACCGCTCCGTGTTCTTGTGGGAAATTACCTCGTTTGGCTTCTTTCTCTTCTCCACTCTTGTGGCTCATGGTTTCAAGCTCTACATTGTTCTTGGTATGCCCATATCCTCGATACTTGAACGCACCTGCTGATGGTTAAGCGACGTATACATGTGATGCCAATTGCAATGTTGCGGTTGTAATGCACTAACAAAAGCATGGTTCAACGCGGTCAGATATAACCAGACAGTTAATGGCTACTAAACTACACATTTGGTGTTGCTATGAAAAACTCTTCTGTGCAGAGAATGGAAAAGACAGAGAGAACTCGAACTATGCTTCAGTGAGCCAGAGATTTCTCCAGTATGGAATCTTGTCGTGCAGCCTGGGATCAATTCTAGGCGCCATAGCTCTGATAGTGTCGATGGTGATTCTGATCGAAGTTAGATTAGGTGCCCTTTTTTGCGGAAATCCATGGGCTGTTTTTACCACAGTGCCCTTCGTTCTCTTGGCAGTCACAGGATGCGCCATTTTCATTGTTTCTGTATTTTATCAAGCGACGAAGGATTCTGATACGTCATAAGTCATACCAAAGACTCTGCAAAAGTCAGAAGAGCCATCAGAGATTCCATTTGCTTAGTACACACACTGAAGTCCCATGACATTGAGATTGTATTCAGAACTGTAAAAACTACATACCAACTTCACCTTTTGATAAATGTGCTCTCAGCACTGAACTTAAACTAACTGGTACATTTCCGAAGTTTCCCACCCAATCCAAAACAACTCTAACAGCATAAATACCCACTTGATGTTCACGCCTAGATGTTGGAAGGAGATATACTATCTAATTACAGCTCACAACCCTTGGGATATTCCCCAAAGAAAGAACCCCGAGTTCCTGCCTTTGACTGGTAAACCAGGTCCTGAACTCATGGAACTTATCAGCCTTGATGGATTCTCGAATAGCCTTAAAAAACTCCAGATAGTGGTACGTGTTATGTCTGCAAATAACAAGCACATGTAAGATGAGGGAACGACATTCAAATTCCGGCCTCCAACCTGATCTATTGTTTGAGAAAGAATAGAAGTAGAGCCTGCAGACATACTGATTAAGAAACCTGGACCGGTTGTAGACTTTAGGTACATATAAGAAGGGAGCGAGCACTCACATCTCCAATAAAGTTTGAGCCAGAGTCTCATTGGAATTGAGTAATTGGTTGATGTAAACTTTAGTATGTCTTTTGCAAGTATAGCATTTGCAGCCAGTCACCAGTGGGGTTTCGTCAATCCTGCCACCACTACCATGGAGGTGTTACTCACTCTTAATCTGGGTAATCCAATCAACCAGGAAGGCAAATGAAATATTTACGTCCAGAAAGACTGGTTGAACAACTATCCCATTTGCAGCCTAAACTAACGAGACACTGTCAACACCAATGTAAAACAACAAATTCAAGTACCCGTAGGTAGCAGATCGAAGGTTGACTTTTGCCAAACTGAAACCACTTGCGACCCCATGGTCAGGAGTTGGTTGCATATCTCTGTCAGCATTTCTTAATGGAACCTCCATCTTAAGGGGGAAAGTCATTGCGAGACACTCCTTCGTTAACATATAAGGATATCTAGTGCCCATCAAGGTTAATCCTCACGCCACATAATGGAATATTTTCACTATCCTGAATATCATAGAAAGGCAAGTTTTTCTGAATCCATTAAAAGATTACTGGCGACAGCCAGCAACAACATCCAGTGTATCTATCACTACAGCTTCAATTGTAACACTACTCGGAAGTCCTCGCAGTACGAGCAATTCATGGTGATCAAGAATTCTTACCTATCACTTTTGAACGCGAAACATGTTTCCTTGAACTTTGAACTACATTCTTCAAGAGGGGGAATGATTTAGATTTTTAAAAAAAACACAAAAAAAAAACAAAATGAAAACTAAAAGGTCACCAATGACCGTATCAAGGATACGTGCTGTCAAGTAAATCAATTCCAGCCCCTACAGCTTGCAGTACCTCCTCTGGATACGTCACAATGCCATCAAAAGATAAGCAATAAAAGAGCTTAAAATTGATCACGACGAAGAATTATTACATGGTACAAGCATAACAACTGAAGTGAATGACTTGTAACTAGCCCGTGGTCTACTTTATTTCTACATTATACAACTCTATGTACGTCGGTGTCATTCTCTGTAGTCGAAGGGAGATACATACCTGGTGAACCAAGCCCACATACATGGCGAAGTTTATCGTTGGGTAATTTGGCCTGTTATGCAGCAGATACTGCGACGCTTCAGTACAAGCTTCAGAAGACAAAGCACTTGAAAAGTTTATTAACACACAACAAAGCATGAAACAGCGAGTTTGAAGTAGCATACAATCGCTACTTCTAGGTGAAAACCACGTTGTGCGACGTCTTCACCCAGTCCGAAGCCCGCCAAAGAAAATCCTGGACACCGACACCAAATGACTATACATCATTGAATTGCATTAGCATAGTTCCGTTTCCTAGGGGAGTTTTGTAATTAATCATATGCTAAAAAAGTGAGGAACTGCGCAAAAACATTATCCGGAACAAAACCATTTGACCATACTGTAAACATTTAACACAATTATTTGTTCTAAAACTCACAATAGCACATGCCGGACTATGAAACAAAAGAGTTAAAGCTCTGTCTGATGGTTTTAAACAAAGATGAATCACATGAGATTGCTGGAAACACTTCACTAGCACGTTGAATCCATCGTGCGAATTACGGTCACAATTAAGAACAATCAGTCACAGGTGGAACAGTACCCGCTACGTTGCGAGTGGCTGCCTGTTCTGCAGACCGGGCCCTTTCCTCAAGACTGCCCGCTCCAACCACAACACCTAAGCACCTATTCCCATGCTCTGCCTAGAGCCAACGCTAGCGAGTCATATTTTGAAAGAACAAATCGTGTTCCAATTGATATATTAATATGCATCAATAAGTCGACATTGCATGCACTATTGTTAATTGAGATGCCAACAATAAAGCTACATATTTGAGTTTCCTTACAAAAAAAGCAGTAATATGGGATAAGAAATTGCAATGAAACTCCTTAACATACACGTATAACAATGCACGGTCGGGAAATAAATACACCAAGTAAAATTTATGAAGGTTCGGAAGGCAGGAAGAAAAAAAAAAAAAAAAAAAAAAAAAAAAGGGGGGGGGGAAAAAGTGCATCTGTCAATCCTGAATCATCAAAAAAGTCCTTGATTTCACTCAAGGAACGTGAGAGAAGAGAGTGGGCATACATGTTGTAATGAGAGGCAGTGGTCCAGCCACTGTGACGTGTGATCCACTGACTCGCGATTACGCTTCTCTGGTACCCAGTGAGGAACCTCGTCGGGAAGGCTGACCCATAAGTCGGGTTTGCAAGCGTTCACAACTTCCATGTATTTTTCAAGACCCACCTGACTAACAGCACATTAGCACAACTTGCAGAGAGGAAAAGTCTACTTAATAGAGTTCACCCGATCATAGAGTCAAAATGCCATAGTACACAATCTATGCAAATCAAATGTGGGACAGTTAAACGATCCCACCCTACATGGTTCGACACGCCATAATTCCCTTCAATCAAACGAACTGTTCTGAATACCAAGCATTTCAACAAAATACGAGCACAGATCCTAATCAACGAGTGGCATGACCTCCCTAAAAGTTAAATAATTAATGCCGTAATATTAACTCGTCAGTGTAGGGTACGTACTATGCGCCGACCAGAAGAAGTCTCAAAAGAAGCACCCAGATTGGAAGCTTCTTCCCCGGCTATTTCATTCCCAAGGCTGTCTCTCGCCACAGCAACCATCGCAAACCCAGTCAAACTGGCTAGCTTGTGTACACCTCCTGCCTTCGCCACGACAGCTGCCAGTGGATCCTCCAGGCTGTTTCACCAACATTGTGAGCACGTAAACCCACTTCTATGCAGAAAATTAATTGTACATGTGTCTAATGATGATTATTATGCTGAAATAATGGAGGCACCACAAGTTTAGCAACAGTCAGTATTTCAAAAGACCTCACAACGTTTGCACTTCTCGAGTACCAAGGAACTGATCTCCCAATTCTAGACACGAAACGAAAATTTCGGAGCGTTGTTTTGCAAAAACAAATGTAACCCAAAGTACTAACAAGAGCAATTCGAGCTCCCATAGTTGTCGGTATCGTTTAGGTATTCGCAATCAGCTAACTCCTGAAGGAGCAAGCTAACGAAATTGAGATGTATGCGACTTCCACAACTCAGATAGAAGGCATATATATATATATATATATATATACGGATTGACTCTTAAATATATTTCCTTTCTAACGTAGAAAAACTAAACTGTTAGTATTGTTTTGAAACAGTCCAACCTAAAGATTATCAGTTTTGCAAACCCAGGTATGAAAAAAAAAGAAGTGGAGGACGATCTTCCCAACAAAGGCTTGGACTGGCCTCTGGTTTAACAGGCCTTTAAACTACCACGTTATCTACAGCCTCGTGAACTTGAGCCCCCGCAAATCTCTACGATTGAAGATTCTAGCGATGCAACTACTCCGGGAAATCCTAATTATCTGCGCTGAACAATTAAAGCACCTAAAAGTGCACCATCGAAATGTTGACTATGCCTAAGTGATTATAATAGTGCTCCCTCCCGAATTCTGAAACCCACTTCCGCGTCATCATTCGAGAAAATTTGTGTCGACCATCACGCACAAAAACCTCACAAACTGGCAACCCAGAAGAAAAGGAAAGTATAGAGAAACACTCTTTCTCTCTCCGTTGCCATGACTGCACTTAACCTCCCCATTCCCTACCCCAACTCCACAACCTCAGAATCCAGCATACTTACAAATGCATCGGGGTGAACTGACACGCCCTCGAGTCAGGATGCAAATCCATCAGCATTTCGGGGGGGATAACCACCGGCAACCCCCTCCGCGTGATCATCAACAGACTGGGCGTCTCAAACTCCAGACCCGACGCCAATCGCAACGACCCAACTCTGCCATGCCCACTGCAAGCCCGCACCGTGAACTCCATGACTCCCGATATTCCTGCTCGCCCCTCACCAGCCCCGAAACCACACACTCACTGTCACGCCATCCCGCTTGCACGCTGCTACGACCTCCCTGTATGCCAGATCCTGCGACTGCGAGCGCATATGCGGCATAGTCCGAGAGCGCGAGAATGAGCACAAGAATCTGCACATTCTTGGCACACCCACGGAACGGAATCCCCTCGAGCACAAGTAGGCGAAGAGTTCGGCGTGCCCCGCAGCTCTCCATTCAGGGTGCCGCGACGCTCGAGCCTTTTGAAGTGCGGGCCCATTCGAAGTGCGGGACCTGGCCTCATGCGCCCGGCTTTTCATCAACGCGGTTTCGAAATTTCTGCATGAATCCTCGAGCTCCGCATCATTCCTGCTATCCCAGCATCCCTCGTGTCGGTGCCCTCCGCCTCCCTCCCGCATATAGGATTTGCTCCCCCGCTTCCTTCAGGGCCGCTTCCTCCCCCCTTTCTTTCTTTCTGTCTGTCTCCTCCCCTTTTTCTTTGCTTTTCCATTTCTTTGTTTTTGGGTCGTGATAAGAGTTTCCTTGCAAATGTAAAAATGCCGACAATATCATGCATGTGAATGGCATGTTTTATTTTTTTGTATTTTACTTTTCAACAAGGTCGTACGATAAATTTTAGATTAGTTTTATGAAATGATAAACAACATTATGCAACTATAGTAAATAATACATGAATATGAGGCTCTTGCCCTATTATGCCAGGATAAAACATATTATTTGATAAATTTAATTAATAAATAAATTCATTGGTTATAATGGTATATGATGATAGATAATGATATAGAAAAGATAATAAAAAATGATATAAGTATATATTTTAAGTATTTACAATAATGATAAATCAATAAATAAAGTACATTTATATGTGTACTTATAAAAGAAATATATCATATTATGAATTTTTATATAATATATATATATATATATATATACACATATTAAAGCAATGGTATTTGTTTATTTAAATGCATCTATTTAAAAGATAATGTATGTATTCATCTACCATGTATTCCTCTACTTGTTTAAATCAACAACTATTTAAAATAAGATATTTTATAATTAAAAGGACAAATAATTAAAAGTATTGTTTATTTTCAAACAATGACATTGGAGAATAGCATAATTGACTTAAAACCAATTAATAAAAAAATTACAAATAAAGCCCAATAAAAAATAGATTCATAGCAATTCATTTTATTGATATATATATATATATATATATATATATTTCTAAAACTTTAGAGATTACATTATATAAAATTAGATATTAAAGAGTTATTGTTGATCCATGTTATTAACAAGTGCTTATGCCACAACCATGTTGTTAACAAGTGCTTATGTTAGAGTTTAATTACTATTCATCTTTTACATGCTTTAGAGCTTGTGTGAGCTTCTTCTTCTTCTTCTTTGCACAAAATCTCATCTTATTGTGAACAATTGGAACACTTGTACATCCCTCAAGCAAAAATATACCATATAATTGTTAATTCCACAACTTGAACATGTAATAAATTTGCTTTATTTAATGCACAAATTTCTCAAAGTTCTTTAGCACCTCTATATTCTCCAATTCCTTTAAATCAATCCTAATAGCAAATATATATAGTGTATTATTGTTTCTTTTTTTGATTCACCAATTACAAACTCGAGGCCTTATTTATTTTAATGATGAAAACTACAAATTCAACATTATCATTCATGTTTGATAGTAATAAAAGTTAGAGAAAAAGGTTCTACTTTGACAAAGGTCGCATTATAAAAAAAGACATTTTTATTGTGACATTTATTTGTTCTTCAACAACATTGTTGTCAACCATAATTTAAATTTACTACCACAAAATCTCATGTACACACAACAATTATGCATAGAGAAGTTTATTATTGACATAGATTATTATTTGTATTATAATAAAAAATATTAAGGTATTACAATAACACAATATGAGACATTAAATAAATCTAAAAAAAAAAAGACTTTGTATAGAAATCCAACATCAAGTGTGTATGCCTCTTGTATTCTTAATCATTCATTTCCAACAACATTACTACTTTGGTATACCATATTATTTGGTTTCAAATAAAATACATATTTGTTTACATTTGGATTTAAAACTATATGTTAGGTCTAAATGATTGTTAAACTATATATGTTGGGTTTAAATGACTGTTGTTCATGTTTTTATTAAAGTCCATCTCTGCAAATGCATAATTGTTTTTATGCATTGATTACACATTGTGAAAGAATATATGAAGATAGAAAAATAAAAATAAAAATAAAAACGTGCATGAGGTAATCTAATGAAAATAAATGAGTTAACTTACAAAAATCTTCTTTAGCTCTACATGCTTGAGAGGGTTTTAATTTTTATAATTTTTTTAATATTCAAATACCTGAGAGAATTTTAAAATATTCAACTCCTCAACTCCGGTGCACATTGTGAAGTAAACATTGATACATAATCGAGCCCAAAGAGACAACATTTTGGTTGAAAGCTCAATCCTGAAAGTTTGACAGAAAAAATAAAAGACAAAAAGAAGAGAAGAATCTCTCTTGTATAAAACCTAATTGGGTCCTTGCTTTCGAAGCTGCTTAATTATTCAGTAAAATTATAACTCATGAAATTACACGCACACTACAATCAATGATGATGCAAATTAGTGATAAATATGTTCTGAAGCTGCGGAAGCTGACAATTTAGTAATCATACATCCTTGCCCATTTGATTAAGTTTACAACATATTCAGAAAAACATCCTTTCAAAATGTACCCATATAAATGATGCTCACAACCTCCTCGACAGTTCTCCCTGGCCTTTTTAAAGGATGACGTACAAATATTTACACAAATTATGAAGTACTCTATATTCAATAAATTCTTACACTACAGAGGCCCTTCACTGAAGCGTGACATGCTTCACAGACCAATCTCCATCCCCAGTGCGGTGTATTTCCGACTTGAAGTGTTCCTCCTTAGCGCCCCGCTTAATCTTGAGAAGCAATTCGAAGTCCGCAGACTCGTCACTAAGCTGCAACAGATATGAAAGGCAAGACACTCCACTAGTTAATTCCTACATCATGAGAATAGTATGCAAAGGCGATCGAACAAACTGACGGCAGCAAGCCAACCATCGACTGGCTATTGCTTGGCAGCGTCCCTATTCAGGTGGGCAACAATCCTTGAGGAATGAAAACACATTCAAGGCACAAAAAGGAACTCCGTTGTAGACACATCTAAAAGGAAAACAGTCAAAGTTCTAAAGATTTAATGCAATTTAAATAGCAAAATTGTTTAAATAAATAAATAAATAAATAAAACACAGACCTCTGCGTCTGCAGACACGATTTCGCTGAGCTCATATGATGCGAGAGAATTTGATCCCTGTTGCAACATCTTCATCGCATGCTCAGCTGCCTCCTGCACGACTAGGTCGTCTGTTGGCCAACTCTGCTTGCCACTAGGAGGGGCACTGATACCCCTGCCGGTGGAATGGGGACCTCCTGCACAGTAACAAAAACCCCAAGTCACAAAATTAGAAACAGTACTCATACTCCTTCAACGGTCCCCAAATAGTCCAAAAACTCTTCAGAAATAGACCACCCTATCCTTCACACTAATAAGAAGCTCAGTTATGTGTTGAAAGAAATGACCAGATATGTATCCATTTGATCGAGTTACAGAATAGAGCGAGTTCGACAATCTGCTTCAAAGAACGAACTATGGAGACTAGGAAAAGAGGGGGGAGAGCACAGCATATCAACCTGTTCTGACACCCAAATCAGCGGAGGTTACCCCAGCATCTTTGAGCTTGAACTCTTCCAACTTCTTGAAGTTTTGCCATGGCTTCACCCACACCTTGGCCTCGTACAGCTTGATGCTGCTGCCCTCCTCTACTTCGATGACCAGGTAATACATAGAGCCCGCCACCACCTGCATGTGGCAGGACACTACCTTGGAGAAGGTGAGCTTCTCCAGGCTATTCTGGAGAATCGGCACAGGACATAAAGGGAATGCAGTTAGTAAGATGAGCACAACAAGATACACAATAATGTACGTCTCCACTAACAGAGGCGTCGTGAGTTATCACTTGAAGGATGTGCACCAATGAAGCATCTGTACACTGCATCTCCCACAATTTCTAAGAGGCGGACGAACCAAAGAAATCTCTTCTGGTTGCATCGCAATTTCTTACAGAAGCAGAACATCGTGATGCGACCTGAGGTTGCAGTTTCAAACCACACAAAGACAAAATTTCACTATGCAAAATTCCAACTCAATAAAACATATCACCGTAAATTAAAACCCTCAAGGATTTCCCCAGTACCACGAAAGCATGGAAGTTGGCAAGTCTATACATGGATTCGACCACGAGAAATCCTAAGCAACTTCTCAAACGACGTCTGCCATCATAACCAACGCAACCACGCAACACCGACACCTGCATAATAGAACCACAAACCTCGCGGTCATTGTGCTCAGCAACGGCGAATTTTGCCGCCTCATCGATCTCCAGATTATTGCTGTTCTGGAGATCGACCTCCTGCTTTCCTCCTGACAACATGGTTACCGACTTCGAATTCTGGAAATGCACAGAGCACCGCAAAGACTTGCAAAGCGCTCTCTCTCAACTTGTGGCGGCTCTTCCCGCAATGTAAAACACACAGACTCTCAAACGGATGCGCTCTGCGCGTGACACCGAAATCTGGTAGAGAAGGTAGAATGGCGGAAAAGCAGATACGATGCCCCGAACTCCAAATCGTCGCGTTTCAAAGGCGGATGGTTACTCTTCGTAGAATCGATTCTGGACATGATCGATCTCCTGCCCCTGTTGCCCGTGTGAAAAGGATTCCCCAAGTTCGGTGACACGTGGTTCGCGCAGATACATCGGCGGATGTCTTGTGGGAAGCATTGCCGTCGACCGAATAGTGTGCTTTGGAGAAGTCGTGGGTTCCTATTGGCGGGTTGGATTCAGCTCTTCCCCAGAAATTTGAATTTGCGATGCACCTGTCACCCAATCCACGTTCCGATCGTTGCTTACGGGGCACGTCAGCATACGCTGAACGGAATCAGAGAAGCCTCAAAATAGATGAACCAGCAGCCACCTTTCATATGATGGATGAAACGAGGGTAATTGCAGACATTCATCCTTGTGTAATGTCTGCCCAAATCCAACGGTTTCGTTAATCAAATTATTCAAGTTGACATTAATTCAGATTCATGGTTGTCGGAGGTCAGAGTTTTTTGGCGATCCGTAACATTGGTTTGCTTGGTATTTCAATTAGAAGAAAACATCCTCAATAGTAATTGGACTTGTCCACCGCATAAAACATCCTCAAGTGTAATTGGACTTATCCTACAATAAATATTAACTCTTTTCCTTTTCTATTTCTATATTTTCACTACAAGATGTTTTAGTTTTATAGCATCACACTGCAACTAACATTGAAGTGTGAGCTATTGAAATTGTTAACTTGTATGATCATCGACATCAATTAGTTAACAAAAAAGAAGAATCAAATGTTTTTATAGCTTACAAGATGGAAATTTGTAGTGACAGTGACAAAAGTAGGAAAATTTACTCCATTTCCATCGTTGTAACGTTAATGTTTTATTATTATTATTATTATACATTGATAATGACCTTCTACAAAGCCATCAACGAAATACTTTTAGCAAGTTGTAGCTTTCAAGTCTTGGAAATTTTCATTACCTTCAATCCACAATCCTTTCTCATCCTTTCCGAGGGAGAAGGTTTTCTTTGCTTTGACACCACCTCATTATAAGCATTGACATAACCCCTAGTCATCCTGTCATCCATGCTCAATCTTCCCATGCCTTCACTCACATCCCAAAGTATCCACGGCCACTGTTTCTTTTCCAACCAATCATATTCTCCCATTTTGTATTATTTTTTCCTGCTTTTCCGCTGTGAGTTTGACGACTGCTCCTATACCTCGCAAAATAAAATGTACACACGGTTACAAAACTCATCCATCTTATTAAAGCTTGGAAATAGATGAATCGAAGTCCCAGCTCTTTCCCATTCATCCTCGCAACTTCATCGCCGAAGTCCAGATTTGGGTACAGACAGACAAGGCATCTAGTAGTTAACATGATTGCAAGATGTCTCTGAGCTCGACGGAGAACACGTAGTTAGAGCTTCGGTATAATTGCTTCTGGACATGACCATGGAATCGATCATCAATGGAACAGGGCTTCAGCATTTGACGAGGCCATTCATTCAAACAAAGTAGGGTAAAATAATAATAAAGATAAAAAAAACCATGCCGTCTATTCCGAGATAATTATGGAGTTTTTCCAGGATTAAAACAAGGCCTTTACAAAGTATGTACTACTGTAGCAGTTCTTCCTGGTCTTGCAAGAAAGACATACACAACTACAAACTGTTCAACTACGAAGTGCTCCCCGTGCAGCAGAGAGGGGTCTCAGGGGGATTATTGTCGCCGCAGAATGGACTTGCTTCAACTTGAAGTGTTCGAGTCTGAAGCCCCAGCCAATCTTCAGGGAGAGCCCAATCGAAGTGCGCAGACTCATTCTTAAGCTGTAAAAAACAGAAAAGAAAAAAGAAAAAAGAAGGGGAAAACGATTAGTTACTTCCAAGAACAATCGACACGAGCGATTAAGTTACAAAGGACGAATAGTGAGTCAAAGAAACGCGATTTAGATTTTGAGTCTTTGCACGGAAGTCAGAAGAGCTTAGCGTACCGTCTTTAGGCTTGAACTCCTCCAACTTCTTAGAGGCACCCCCGGGCTTCACCCACACCTTCGCCTCGTATTGCTTGGGCTGGCTGCCCTGTTCTACCTCAAGCACAAAGTGATACATGAGGCCCGACACCACCTGCTTGTGGCAGGAGATCACCTTAGATAAATTCATCTTCTCCAAGCTATTCTGTTGGAAAGAGAAACACAGGTCACACATTAAGAGCCGTAACAGATAGAGGAATTCAATCGCCCAATATGGAACATAGTACGGAAAGACATCGAAAGATATCATCTCGAATTCGAAAAATTCGTCTAGAGAAGAAGGGACAGAGCCAGAGATATCATCGAAAGACATAGAATTCGTTGTACATATCTTAGGTCACGCTTGAAAAATGTGTCGTTAACATTCAAACAGGACGTCGAGTGTAATCGCGTCTTAGATCCAACTGATACAAACCTTGACTCTACAAACAACACGATTCAAAGACCAGGAAACCCTCTTCCCAAATTAAGTGCTGCTCATACAACCCCAATTCCAAGTTCACAGACCTGGCGGTTGTTGTGCTCAGAAACGGCGAAATTTGCCAACTCATCAATCTCCAAGCTGTTGGTGTCCTGGACATCGACCTCCTTCTTTCCTCCCAACATGGTTGCAGAATAGAAGCTCTGAAAAAGCGGCAACAACAGCAACACGCGATCGCTGCGCCACAAAGAACCGAAGATGCAGTGGCTCTTGCTCCAAAACAGATACACAAGCTCTCAAATTGATAGGATCCTCACGTGAGACTATGGTTTGATACTGGAAATTGAACGGCGTGAGCCAGATATGAAGTCCCAGATATTGATTGCCACGTTTCGCATGGCCGCGATTCCTCTCTCTCTCGGTTGTCCCAAGATGTCCACCGGAGGAATCTGCGAGATGCCCTTTTGTCTCGCGTAGCGTGTGAAAAGAGACTCTGGCTCCATTTTATCCTTCTCTGTCCAAGACCAACGCAGAAGCTTCAACTGAAAATTGGTCAATTATTAATTAATACTACAGTGACAGAGCACCATCAAGCATCAAGCTGTAAATGGATGAAAATCGAATGAAGTGCAGTCGAGACGATTCGTCGTTTAGGAACGAACTTCGTCCGACGATTTCGTGGAAAAAGTGACGACGCCATCGGATGGTTCGGCACCGCCCGTCCGAATAACAAGCATCTGTCAGGAGGAGCATGCCCTGATCCAGTTGGGGGTCTCGATCGGTGACACGTACATACTTATTGCCACGTGTATCACGAGTGCACACTACGCTGTTGTATTTTGTACAGTATCAAATGCGTACAACAGAATCATTTCAAAGGCATTTTGTGAATTGAATTTGCGGCCCACTTGTTGCGCAAATCTGGATCCCTGTTGGATAGGAGATCTGGATATTGAGATTTGGATTGGGACCTGTGAACAGAGTCTCTTCCTACACTCCAGTTTCGTTTGGGGACCAGAGCCTTGACTGAATATGTTTGTAGGCATTTTCCTTAGTCACCACTCATTACCGTAACAATTGTTTGGCTGTAGACTTTTTTTTTATTTTTATTTTTATTTTTTTAATCTTTTTATTGTATTTTTTATACTAAGATCCAATCCATAGGAGCTTTTACAATATTCTGTTAGATTATTTAGCAAATAGAAGGGCAGTTTGCCCCTCTGCTAATGAATGAACAAGTACAAATTAGAGTGGTAAGGGCAGTGTAGCTTAGGTGGATTAACCACATGTACATGAAAAAAATCCAATTCATAGGATAAACAATTCTATTTTATTTTATTTTTTTTATTTTTTATTTTTTTTTTGAAACATAAGGGGGTAGACCCTTTTGCTGATTAAGATAGATTGTCTTACATGAACCTCTAGGCTTCCAGTATGTGATGTGGAGATTTAGATTCTAAATTTTATAATTCATTGAACATTGTCAAATTTTATAAAGGATTTTTGTTATTATCGTAAGAGTGCATAGGTAACAAATGTCATTGACTACATTGATTATTTTTTTCTCCATGCATTAACAACTATACTTCTATGTCAAATAAGTCATATCAAAGCAAATTATTTTTTAGTTCTGGTTTTATTTCATAGGATTTGCTATTTCTTGATGAAATTAGGTTGTATCACTCTATACCATTTAAGAACTTGAATTGGAGTAGTAGGGATTCTGTTCATAAACAACTTCTTACATATTTTTTTTTCTTGTAATTTCCTAAAGTGGATTGACTTTTTTAAGAAAACTAATTAGAACCAAAGTTTAAGCATTGTGATTTGTCAAAGAAAATCTAGTTTGTATATTACTCTTTTTGGAGGACTTGATATCCTATCATCCTATATAAGTACATTTTTATGTAATTAATATGGTTTTGTGCTATATAAATATAAAAATTATTCAATAAATTAAATTTAGGAACTACCTTAAGGATATATATGGCTTTGCTAAGAAAGTAGATGTTTTAGATTTGGTTGAAATATTTTGTAAAGAAACTCCTATCTATTCCCTTAGCCTTTTCTTTTAGAGTTTGGAATAAATATAAGAGCCATTTGTCAATTTATATACGCTATAGTCTAATTTAATTATTTTAAAAAAAATCTTAGAGTCTAAAAGTATAATGTTAAATTCTTTAAAGATACACATCATATAATTTATGTGATTTGTTAAATTTTAACTTTGAAGAATTTAATAATGTCAAGCAATAATCAAATAGACAATTAGAGCTTATAAATAATAAAAAGTCTAAGGAAAATTATTACTTATACATATAGAATCTTGATTTTATCTAGCATTTTAAGTATTATATATTATAGAATCACTAATAGTATGTAGGCATTAAGAAGTTTTTAGATGATAAAACATATAGTAAATAAATAATTAAAAATAATCACTATATTTATAAGTAACATTCTATAAAATAATGGCATGAAATGTGAAAATTATATGTGATATTATTTCATATAATATGGAGGACATAATGTCATTAATATATATATATTAATAATTAAGACAATAAGAGAAATTAGGTAAAAATAAAAATAATTAAATTTGATAATATCTTATAAAGAAGCTTCTTAAAAGCTTTGTAGATACAAATTCGACTTTATAAGTATTTGTAGATGATTTGTAGATTGAAAACTTGGCCAATAAGTTGGCCATGTGTTATACATGGTGACCACTTGTTTTCCAAATTGACTTCATATTTCATATGTTGGCTCCTTGTGGTACAAGTTGGCTATATAGCATACATGTGGAAAACTTATCTTATAATTTAGACATATGTCCTACAAGTTGGATGTGTATCAGATGACTCATAAAATATTATTACATAATTTTTCAGTTAGATAATATATATAGAGGCAAGAATAAGACTTTTGTCATTCTTATCAATGTCTTTTTTTTATTCTTGTCTTAGCTCAAGAATCTCTAGTGTCTTTGTATTTGATAATAGCAATTCTAGTTTCTATTTTATATCTATCTTTGAATTATCTACTTTTTCTTTTTGATTATCACAAGAATATATTTTTTCTTTAGAATTTTTGTATAATACATATTCTTGATAGTTTAAAAAGAATACTATTTTATTAATTTTATTTTGTTTTAAAAGTTAGTAGACTATCTTACTTCTTATGGTTTTATTTTAAAGATTATATACTATCTACCTTATATATATATATATATATATATAAATATATATTTAAAGACAGTGAACTATCTATCTTTGTAGAAATTTTGATGTGATATCAGAGGTTGTAAATTATCTTTTTCTGATTTAACTTGTAGGTTTTTAAAAGTTTTTATTTATTTATTTTTATTTTTAATAAATATAGAAGAAAAATAAATTATAGATGCTATATTTCATAGAAGTAAGAATAAAATTTTAATTATTATATATCTTCACAAGCTTGTCAAAAATCTTAAGGCAAAAATTTCACATATTACCAATGTGTATTATGGAAGTATAATTTCTACACTTGTGAAAGAAGTCTATAATGAAGTCTAATGTCTATAGCAAAAAATTGTATAGTTGAAAGAAGCAAGCAAATCAACCTTATAAGTAAATCCAAAAAGCTTTGCTATTGTAAATATGAAGGATGCAAAGATTAATATGGAAGAGAAGTTTGATGGAATAATATGAAAACTTTAAGGATTCTTACAATAAGTCAAACTCTATTTAAGATTACATCTTTTTTAATACTCTCATAGATTTACTTAAGCTGAACATATAGTTGCACTTATATCTAAAAGTCTTTTCTTTTTGTTTGTACCTTTGATAGAAAAAGATTTAATATTTTTATATAATCTAAATTTAATATTCAAAGTATTTTTGGCCAAATTTAAAGATAGTAATAAAGAAAGTATTAAAAAATGAATATTCTATTTTTACAAAAAATATCATGTTTTCTTTTCATAACCTTCATTTTCTTTTACAATAGATTCATTAAGCCTTTGCCTTGCTGGATTTAAGAGATTCAACTTTTTTTTTTAGATGAAGATTTTGTTGAAAGATATAATATACTCTTAATAAAAAAAATAAAGTATATACATGTAAAACTCATAGATGGTCATCTTTTATCTTCTTAAAATATAATCCATAAAACTATTCTTATAGAAGTAATAAAAAAATAGTCATAATAATTTAGTGATATTTAATATTATTAAATCTCTTTTTAATCCAATTATTTTAGATTTATCATGGCTAAAAAAATATAATCCTTAAGTAGACTAGTTTTTTTGTAATATTGATTTTTTTATTATATAATCCAAGCTTTTACTAATTAAGTAAAACGTCATAAATTTTATACAACCAAATTCTTATTTGTAGGTACAAGAGCTTTTATGCATGTTGTAAAAGAAAAGCCATATTTTGTTATTTATGCCACATCTATTTTTAATATTTAAAAGACTTCAAGTGGCATTCTAAACCAATTTAATGATTATGAAGACATATTTTTTTTTTTTTTTTTTTTTTTTTTTTAAATACAAATATTCTTTCATAGCATTGTCATTTTTCAATTGATCTTTAAGAAGGAATTTAGTTGCCATTTAGACCAATCTATAACTTATCACAAAATAAGTTGGCTTTATTTATGGAATATATTAATAAAAATTTAGCTAGAAACTTTATATACTATTAAAAATCTTTAGGAAGTATGTCTATTTTATTTATAAAGAAAAAAGATGGATTATGATAATTTTATGTAAATTAAAAAAATTTAATAAGATTTTTATAAAAATTAGATACCTTCTATACTTAATTCTAAAACTTTTTGATTAATTAAATCAAACAAAGATTTAAATGAAAAAAAAATTTTAAAAAATATATAACTTAATATATATAAAAAAATGAGATAAATGAAAGACTACATTTGGAATCAAGTATGGATATTTTAAATATAATATCATGCCTTTTAGACTCACAATTATGCCAAGTACTTTTTAACATCTAATAAATGATTTTTTTTAAAGATTTTTTAGATGATTTTGTTATTTATTATCTAAATGGTATTTAATCTATTTTTAGAATACTAAAAAGCATAAACTTCATATTTTTTGCATATTAAAAAATTAAAAGATGCATGACTATATATCAAGTTAGAAAAGATCATATTACTTATAATTTAAGTTAATCTCTTAGGATATATCATTTCAAAGAATAGAATTGTGATAGATTTTAAGAAATTTTATATTATAATTAATTAGAAGATTTCAAGAACAATGAGAGACATCTAATATTTATTGAGATTTGGCAATTATTATCAATTATTTATTTATTTATTTATTATTTTTTTTCAAGTTACAATTCTACTTATACATTTGACTTGTG